CCAGCAAAGGCAGCAGTTCCAGCAAATACAGCAGCATAAGCTGCAGCAGCAATCGCTGATGCATGATCAAAGTCGTTCAATCAATGTCCAACCATCTTGCTTGGTGTCTCCCTCTCAAACTTCAGGAACTTTCCAGGTTAATGGTCCTGCATCTGTTAACCAGAATTCCAGTTTGGTTAGGAATGCCCTTATGGATTATAGTCTCCTTGCACCCCAATCGAATCATCCTTCATTAAATATTGCTCAATTTCCTGGTGGGGACACCAAAGCTAAAGGTTTTCTTTGTGGATATGTGGCTCCAGGCTCCATTTTGCATCCAACGTCACCGCATTCAATGAGTGCTAACAATAGTAATATTCAACAGCTTCACAACTCATCTTTGACATTCGGTACTGTGAGACCTTTGCCAAATCTTTCATCTAATGTGTCTGATACACAAGTTCCGTATGGTGGTACGAAATCTGGTGATGCAATTGATCAAGCACATGTAAGGAATCTTGGATTTGTTGGCCAAGGTAGTAGTATTCCAAGTAGGTTTGCTGCTCATGAAATTGAATCATCTGTCAGTGACTTAAGTGGGGGAAAAATCCCTCTAGATAGCAATGGTAACACAGTGAAGCAGGAGCCAATTATGGATTTGATGGATAACTCTAAAGTGGGCGCCCCAGTCTTACAAAGATATCCATCCGATCCCATGAATGTGTTCACTGAATAGGTAACTTGCTAGGTTCACTTTTAAAACCTGTTTTCTTCATTTCTGAATGATAGTTTTTATACTTGGTTGCTACTGAATAGTTAAAATACTAAGATCCGAGGTCATTGTAAATGAAAAAAGAGAGAGCTATTACTTCCATATTCGTGTACGCATTGTTAGCGAATGTCTCAGTCAGAATCTTGCTTGCAACAGGCTAAACTATGGCGAGGAGAAAAGCCATTTTCCTCAAAGGTACAGATTATTTCATCATCAGTTGTTTAGTAGAGATTCAGTTGAAGTCTATTATTTGTAGTTTTGGACCTCTTGGTGCTTGAACCAGACTCGGTTGCATTCTGGAGCTTAATGATGTTTGTAAAAAGTATCAGTATTATGTTGGTTTGCTCTCTTAGAAGCTGCACATGTCTCTTAGGAATTTTTATCACCTGTCAACTAGCTCGTAGGGCAAATAAAACACTGATAGTTTGAATTTATGTCCGAATATTGGCTTATTGCCATCAATGTTATTTAGGGCTTTTATGCTGTTTGAAATGTTTTGGTCATCTTATCCTTAGTTGTATACTGCATCTAGCCTCACCTAAACTAGGTTTGTCTTCACTATCAGAGTTCCAGACAATATGGGCAACGGGCATAGGGGCATGTTTTCTCCAGCTATTTTGCCTGGTATAAATGTAATCACCATTAGTTACACCATTGTTCGATCATGATTTAATGATTGAATCTTGCTGTGAACCATTACCAGAGTACTGAAAAAAGAAAGAAAATCCGACTTTTTACATGACAATGGTGTTTAATTCTAGATATTGTTCTCTTATCCAGAGAATTCATTTTTATTTTGAAAATAACGCGAAATTTGAAAGAAGTTATACTTGGCATGTCTTATAATTAATCATGATCAGTCCAAATTATTATACATTCTATGTAATGAATAAGGAAGCATGTCTAATTTTTATAATAAATCTTCTTAATATATAATTTAATTTAAAAAAAAATATATATATATATATATCATTCTCTTGTTAACATTTTGTTAATAATTTAATTTTTTAAAGAAAATCTAGCACATATGGATAATAAAACTACGAAGTTTAATATTTTTAGGAGAGGAAAAATGCATGGCAAAATAACCGAACAAACAAAAACTAGAGAAGAAAAGCAGTAAAACACTGCTAAACTTTTATTGGCAAAAAGAAAAAAAACGTGCTAACAATTTTACAAGGAATAGAAATTCAATTTAAATTGGTTAGAAGGTTATTCAGTTCGTTAAGAAATTTCGAAGACATTTATAAAAAGTAAACTAATTGCAAAGGACTTTAAAATAAGAACCATGAAGAATGATTTCAGGCTAAAGGAGCAAAAATACTTATAAAATTATTAATTAAAATTATTCAATAGTTTAAAATGAGAAAAAAAATAAAAACACTTATAATGTTACATAAGTTAGTATAAAAGTGACCAATACGTTAAATATTTTAAATATTAATAACTTAGTTGACATTTAATCAGATATTGACTTTTTTTTTTGTGCTAATGTGGATTGAAAAGGGGGCAAATACTCATAAAATTATTGGCCAATTGTATCCAATAGCTTAAAGTGAGAAAAGGAATAAAAATACTTATAAAATTACTTTAATATATGTAATAGTGACCAATTCATTAAACCCTTCAAAATGTTGACCATTTAGTTAATACTTAAGTAAAAATTGATCATTTTTTACTAATGTAGATTAAAAAATATTTTTAAGTGAAATTCTATGAAAGGTGATCTATTATTTTATGATGATTAGCCTCCAATTGAGACTTTAGTTTTGATGAGAGACGGCATTAGAGGGCAATCTACCTCTTCTTCTTCCATCATCTCTTTAGTCTTACTTTTACTATGCCCACTATTACTTCTTCTTTTGCTACTTCCTCTTCATCTCAAACCACTATTCAAAGATGTTTCATTTTTCTACTACTTTCTCCTTTTCAAATGTACGAAATATGAATAACATGTGAAAAAATATCATTTTAACTAGACAAGTTAAATCACTCACTTTTTTAAAATTCTTATACCATTGAAGTTTCTTCTTGATAATCCAAACCAATAAAAGAAGTTTCCCGCATCTCAATTTCCTTTTCAGCTTAATTTGCAATATCACGTCTCTTCTCAAGCAACTTGGCGACTCAAGTTCAATGTTTAGTTGAGAAGCTTCTAAAAGATTATATTTAATCATAAAAATTTTTTTGAAGAAGTCTCCGCTTGAGAAATAGAAAGAAACCATGTGACATGAATTTTGATGAATTAATTACTGTTGTACCTACTAAAGTAATGTTATGCGTATTCTTTCCTCTTTTTTCCCCTACTTTAGGCTAATGGATGCCTCTTGCTGATGACTCCATGGGTGTTTTTGTCTTTTTTTTAACTCCACATCAACTAAAAAAATGATCAATGTCTATTTATGTTTTAGCTAAATAATTAATCTTTAAGAGATTTAATGAATTGATCACTCTTACACTAACTTAGATAATATTATAAGTATTTTTATTATTTTTCTTACTTTAAAGTATTTGGATCCTCGTGTTTGACAATTTAATGTGTATTTTTGTTCATTTACCTTTGATTTTATAATGAAGATCATTTTGAAATTTAAATTTTGTTTCAAAATATTTTTAATTTTATAATTTAAATGAAGTGTTAATTATATTTAAATCATTTTATCTTTCGCGAATAAAAATAAACAAATAATAGAAGGCGGGCAAGTTTTGCCTAATAGATAAATAAATTAAGAGTATTTTATCACAATATCATTACTTTTTTATAATCCATCAGTAAATTTCATATTGGAGTGCTACTTTGCTTGCTATTATAAAATACTTTTTTTTTTCTTTTTTAATATAAGGATTTCAAAGTAACATGAAGATACATACAGTTTAACCGAGATATATAGAACCTAACCTATCATTATTCACCGGCTTACTGGAATAAGGTGGGACATGATTATTGATAAATCAGTCTAGATTATTGCTAGCATTAACAACCAAAATATGGGTATAGTAGTTCGCCTCATGATACATAAACATCTTTAAAATTTTTAATTAGTTCATGCAGGTCAATGGGGTCAGTAAAATATCTCTAAAATATTTTTAAAACTTTAAATATATCTTTCGTTAATTATACTTACGTCAATTTGTTAAAGATATTTTTTAGAATGAAATTATTATATATAATATTATTTAAAATGCCTTCTAAAGTTGAAATATATATATATATGTGTGTGTGTGTGTGTGTATATATATAAATATTGAAAATATGTCTTACTACTAAAGGGGTGAGGAAAAAAAAATTCTTTTAATCCTATTTATATGACAGATAAAGAGTATTTATTTTGGTTATATATATAAGGCATATCAATAATTAATGTATTTGTTTTTTATTATTTATTATTTTGTTCATATTAAATGTTGGGAAGCTTATTAAATGTTAAAGCATTTCATTTTAAAATAGTTACATTTAATAAAAATAAAGTTAAAAATTTGTTAAATTTTTAGACAAATTTAATAAAATTTAATATTTTTCTTAACTTTGATAGAAATATTAAAAAAAATTAATCATTTGGTCCTTATACTTTTTATTCAATTATAACTTAATTTTTTTAAATTTTGACTCATTGTAATTCAATTTTTATAATTTTAACTCAGTTATAATTCAATTCCTGAACTTTCTTTTAAATACTTAGTCCCTATAGTTTCAACCATTTAGATATTGATCTCTATATTTTAAAAAATAAAATTATAAAACTTAAAAATATTTTAAAATTTTAATATTTATAATATTTATAAAGATTAAGAGGGTATGGTAATCTAAAATATTAGTAATAACTTTTACACAATTTTAATCTTTATAATTTTATTTTTTTAAGATATAAAAATTAATATTTAAATGAATTATAAAAATTAATATTTAAAAATTAAAATATAACTGAGTCAAAATTTAAAGATTGAATTATAATTTTTTTAAATTTAAAAATTAAATTATAATTAAATTAAAATTAAAAAAATTAAATAATTAATTTTTCTTACAAATAATTTGTCGATAAGAGCAGCAAGAAACAGTAACGAGTTTGGTGCCTGTTGGTTGCAGATTTGTAGTTTCCACCTCACCATTACTGACAATTCGTCCAGATGTCGACAACCCATAATAAATTCATTAATTAAGTCAAAAAGAATTTAAAAATACAGTTTTTTGGCCAAAAAATGTCTTCTTCTTCTTCTTCTTCTGGTTTTTTGCCAAATAAAAATTAAAAATATCTTGTTCCGGGGAAACTGGAAAGGTTATGCTTTTCATTAATTAATGTACTTTCAAGTCTTCTATTTTTTTTCCCTTCCCTGATTTCGCTATCTTCATTGATTTCCCTCTCGGAGTCCCTGTCGTCTTCTTATTGCTCGCCAAGCTTTCGTTTTGTGGAAGGCAAATTAAATCCTCCAATTCCATAGCCACACCCACTCTCTCTCTCTCTCTCTCTCTCTCTCTCTCCGTCTTAAGTTTGAATAACTTAATATGTCCTTCTGAAAATTGGATCAAGCTTATAAGTTTCTCCTTCTTGCTTTTCTTCTGGGGTATGATCTCACAGCTTGAGGACAACCCCGTCATTTTTCAATTAGCCCGATAAGCTTTGCTAGACCACCAAATGGAAGAGGGGCAAGGATTTGCACTGACCCAGATGAGGAAGTCAGTCGAGAAGCTTGGTTCTTCAGCTGAGGTCGCGCATGACTCAATTTTGTTTTTGTTCATCGTTTGTCGTCGTCGTCGTCGTTGTTCATGGGTTTTAACTTTTAAATTTGCAGGTGTATGAAGATCGTACACTTATGAGGTTCTTGATTGCTCGATCAATGGACCCCGATAAAGCAGCTAAGATGTTTGTTCAGTGGCAGAAGTGGAGGGCTGAGATGGTGCCTAATGGTTTCATTTCAGAGTCTGAAGTTCCAGATGAATTGGAAGGGAGAAAAATCTTTCTGCAGGGTTTGTGCAAGGATAAATACCCCGTGTTGATCGTCCAAGCAAGGAAGCATTTTCCTCCCAAGGATCAGATTCAATTCAAGAGTAATTTACTGCCTTAAGCTTTTTACAAACGCATGATCACTGAATCGATTTTTTTTTCTCATGATTAAATTGCTAATTAAGTTATTACTCTCAGGTTTTAGAAATTTGATTCTAGTTTAGTCAGTTTAAGACGCCTTTTTGGGTTATATTATATTCTCAGCGGGCCATCGTATGAACATGTCCTAATTAAAGCTTCCAACTAAATTGCCAGTGATTCAAGGCATTCTCTTCGTTTACTTTCCTTTACTCTCTCCTCTGTTCCTTCTTCTTGAGTCGTCGTGCCACCCATGTGATCGTTTATTTTTAGGTGATTAGATTATTTCGCTGGAAGTACCTTATGGTGTTCATAAAATTGCATGCATAGACAGTCGAGAGATAATATTTATGTGGTTACTAATTCTAGAGGTGACATCAAGTATTGATACTTGCAAAAAAAAAAAAAAAAGAAGAAGTAAATGTGCTTGCATCTGATATGTATCCGATACGATGCTCATACTGTAGTTCATAATACATATAACATATTTTAACAGTTGTATTATGATTTTCTTCAACAAAATTTTTCTATGTTATTTAAAAACTTTAAAAAAAATTTAATATCTTGGTTTATTGTTACAAATATCCTTATATTACTTTAGAAATGCTTTCTTAAAATTCAAGATACCTATTCCTGTATCATAAAATGTTAAAATATATATAATATATATTCTCATATCTGTATTTTAAAATTGTGAAAATTTCCGTATCCACTACATCTTGTTGTATATCATATTTGATACATGTACCCGTATTTGTGCCAATATTGCTGTTATTATTTGCAATGAGAAGTTGGGCCAATGTCTGATCTCCAGCTAGTTGCATAAAATATCATGGTTGAAAATAAGTGTGCATTTGTTCAGAACCTTGGTTGACCCGGAGGATGTGTTTGATGGACCTGAAGTTTGGTGGAATTTAAGATAAAAAATAGAACATGTCAGTGATGGTGTGGTTATTGTTGTTGTCATTGCTGCTGCTGCTGTTGTCGTGGGAAAAACTTATATGCTTAACCTTATATAGTTAAGGTGTTTGTTTTCTATTAAATCAAGACTTGTATATCTTTTATTCCATAGCAAATTCTTGTTATTAATATTGTTAACACAATAAAATCTAAATGTTTTGATTTGATTGGATAAAAGTGTATTAAGTATATAAAGTTAAGTACCTAAGTCTTGCCCTATTGTTGTTGTTGTTGTTGTTGTTCTTGTTAAAAAATGATGGTGTGATTATTAGGTTGAAAGGGTTTAAAGCTCTAAGCGACTCTACTTGCCACATTCTAATTTTATATTTCCTCATAAACTCTTGGGTGTCTGTTTGAAAAATTGTCATTTTTTGCCTTGTGCATCCCTTTTATCACCTTAAAATTATTTCGATAGTAGAAGTCAGAGAAATTCGTGCTTCTTTCTTCCTTGTCTCCTTCACATGATGATTTATATTTTATCATAATCTATTCATTTTCTCTGCCTGCTATTCAAGTTTGCCCTTGATAGGAAGGTTTGCGTTTTATCTATTGGCGACCAGCTACTCTAAATGTTCAATATACAATCCATACTCTGATGCAATTAATTGCGCGCGCGCGCGCATATGAGGTCATGAAACTGTTATCATTTGTGAAAGTAAACAAGTACTTTCGATTTTTGCATTTTTTTTTTTTGTTGTTGCCTGAATAAGTACTGATATTGGTTTAACTTCAAATTAGTGATCGCATTCTCCAATGTTTATGTTGAATGCATCGAGTTTGAAGTTATTCAAGACAATGAGAACTATAGTATGTGAAAAGATGGGCTGTGAAAGTTATTTCTAATGTTGGTTAGAGTGAGTAAGTTGTGTACAGAGACAATTTCCTGGGCTATGGAATTCCAAAATCAAGGTTTAGGAACTTGGAAGAAAGCGTTCAGATATCATAGGTTACATTTATGTAATGTTGACAGTTGAATGGCATGACAGTCATGGAAATTCCAAGATCCTTGACAGCTTTTTTTTCTTTTTTTAAGTCATTTCAAGGTTGAATTAGTGGGCCGTTGATGAACAAAGAGGTTGAAAAACTTAAAGGGTTTGCATCATTTTTTCAGAAGAAGATAGTGGTGATTTGGGTAGTTGTAATTAAAGAAGAAAAAAGTGCTTGTAAAAAGCTTTCTGAGATGCCAAACAGTTGGGAATAAATTAAAACGATACTTTAATAAAGATATTGATGTGTGACTTGAACTAAATAGAAAGGGCACCGATGAGTTTTCAACCCAAGCACATGTTGAAAAAGCAGTTTCAGTTTCGAATGACAAAAAATGGGTTTGATCGGCTATCGAGATAAAAAAAGTAGTTCAAGTTCTCAGATACTGCAGCTATGTACCATAGTAGAAGTTTTCTTTCACCTTTTCAATTCCCTCCGCTGATTGTTATTTGAATTTAATGTTTCTCAATCCGCTAGATTGTAATTATATGTTATTTGGAAACCATTGCACTATTTAATGAAATTTACAGGCAGAATTACAATCCAGGATTCTTTTGTTACAGAAGTTCCAATTTATTAAGTCAATATATCATTGCCACCTTAGTAGAGTTGTTGATGATCATAACTTGGAAATTATATCATCAGGAGTTCTAATTTTTATTTCTCCCTAATTTTCTTTCACTTCTCATTTTCAATTTGCTTGCCTGGTAAAGGTTAGAAAGAGAACACATCAATGAAGATAAGTGATTGAAAGTATTTAAATTTCTCTACTTTATTCAGGATAGCTTGTGGCTGATACTTCCTTCTCTCTTTTGGTGCAGAATTTGTTGTTCATTTACTGGACAAGACAATTGCAAGGTACTCTAATTTTACTGCTATAGGGTTCACTTATCAATTTTTAGAAATAATTTATTTTTGGATGGTGGCATGGCCATTCTTACTGTTATAATGATATGATGAACATCTTCATCACTATTTTTGGTAGCATATTCAGATATAAAAATCAGTTAGGAAGTAATTATAACTGAAGCTGCTAAATAACTGTGATTATGATATTTATGGAGGTTTCATCTTTGTCCATAATTGTCCATCATAGCAATTAGTATCTGCATTCCTTGTCAAGGTTTGAAGGGACTGTGTCCATACTGTCATGGACACTTCAGAAAATGGGGGCCTGAATGTATGCTTCTAAAGCTACAGTTGTTTCAGAATAGGAGTTTCTCTTAATTACATGAGTTCACATCCAATAAGGTGACAAAATTAGGGAATAATCATTGGATTACTACGGTTATCAAACAAGTGAGAGCCACGAACCACTCTTCAAGCCCCTGCACTCATCTTTTCTTTCCCTTTTTTGACAGTCGGCAACGTATTTTGTCTATTGAAGCCTTGTAAAGTTAACACATCAATAGGAGAAAATGCTCAACAGTTGAATTTTGATTTGAAGTTGTTTAGTTCAGATATGCTTGTTTTGTTATTACAAAAGTTTGCCATCCTTTTGAAAAAAACTGATCTGGAACAGGGAAGGGGACAGAGAGAAGAGAAAGGAAGGAGAGAGAGAAAATTGAGGAAGTTAGGAACACAGAATACTCAAATATTATCTCTTTATTTGAATCATAAAAAGTTCAAAAAATTGAGATACCTTTGGGCTATCTATAGAGTCCTGGGTACAATTCAAAGTAACAATATAATCTAACTCTAACGAATCCTAAAAGATTAGATAATAGTTCAGGTAACTTAATCCTAAATAAGATAGGATAGTCCAAATTCAAACTAAATTGATTCTAAGAATAATGTAAATCCTAATTTAAATCAAATCTACAAGAAAGTTCTAATATACAAGAAATCCCAATCATCTTAGGGAAAAAAACAAAATAATCCATATTATTTTTAATCCGTATTCCATCAATAACTGAGCACATTCTTCTTCTTCTTTTTAATCCATCATAGCTTTCGTAATCATGTTATCTGTGCTTTCTATTTCATTCTCGTAGAAGACTGAGGAATTAATAATGGTTTTTCGTTTCTGTGGTCTTTAGTGCCATCAAAGGAAGGGAAACAGGAAATGAAAAGTTGATTGGGATCCTTGATCTGCAGCATATCACATATAAAAACGTTGATGCTCGTGGCTTAATCACAGGATTTCAATTTTTGCAGGTGACTTGCCTTGTCCTATTCCTTGCGATTTTATGTGGTCGTAGACAAAATAGAAGAATATGTGATGGATGTGATAAGTGCCAATATAGCATGATTATCTCGTTTCCTTCTTTTCAACTTTGAACCTTTTCATCTGGAAATAGTCTGATTTACGGAGTGGCCATTGATTGTTAAGTATTCTAAGATCAGAGTTTCAGTGTTGCCATCTTGAGTTTCCGGGATTTGTGTATTAGGAAGTAACATAATCCTACAAAAGTATGAACCTTTGAGTATCTATTTTTATGGCAGGGTTGCACCGGCTAATGCATCAAATCTAACTTCATCTATGGTTACTTTTTTTTCAAAATGTCAGGCATACTATCCTGAACGTCTAGCAAAGTGTTATCTAGTACACATGCCGCAGTTTTTCGTGGCAGTTTGGAGACTAGTTTCTCGGTTTCTAGAGAAAGCAACACTAGAAAAGGTATTTGTTAATCTGTGAGTTCAGATTTTATTATGAACGCTGAAGTAAGCCTTCAAAGGATGCAGTTTGTTCCCATTAAAAAATGATAGCAGATTTTATCACTTTTGAAGGGATCAAGCTGTGTGGTGTAAGGTTAACCATAGACTCTATTGGTAATCAAGGGGACTAACTCAAACGAATTACTAATTTATAAGAAAAATCATAAGTTTCCAAAGTACTAAAAGTAATAGAAATGGAATCCCAAGTTTTTAAGCTTTTAAATGCAATTGTAAACTATTATAAGCCAAACATTAGAGTAAAAATGTTTACGGAAGCACGGAATATGAATTTGTTTTCAAAACATTTGGATTAAAGTTGAAAATAGTATTTCAGTGCAAGAAAAATGAGGTGCGTTGTGGCATGTCACACGTGTCATGGCACATTGCATAAAATGACAGCAATGGGGTGAACTTCCAACGCACCTCAAATTTTTATTCTGATGTCTAATTGAGGTGATGTAGGTGTTTATACTTTCAAAACTCTAGCTAATGGCACGGGTCTCACTCACAAATCATTTCCCAATTAAAAATGGGACGCTCGTTTATAAACTCACTCTTTTTTACACGTAGAACACAATTAGAGTATCCAATTTCACTGTCATGCTAAGAGCTTACAACCAACCCTATATCACATTCAATAGACTCAATTAGACCTATTCAATACACCACAGCATACAAATCACACTTATTTTACATTTTCAATTCAACCCTTTAATCTAAAAATTAGCAAGGGGAGACAATTTCACATAAACCATTGTAATAACCATTATAATCATGTATTTACACATTTTTTTACTTGCACTAATATCTTGGCTCTTTTTAAATGCTCACATACATAGCGCACGCAATCTAGAGTCCAAAATACAATTTCCAATATCAACAGCAAATAGTGCAAGTAAAAAACAAGAGAATTCCTAGTTGGTATTGTTAATGTAAATATACATTACAATAAAAAATAATGAAGGCTTACAGTAGGAATGAAATTCTTAAGCCTTTGATGCTTTCCCTTAGTTTTGATCCACGCTAGCTCTGGTGATATTAAAGAGAAACGGGTGAGTGTAACCACCTAGTGATCAAGTTAATTTATCCTAAGCAAATGCAAGCCAATCAATTATAATGCTACATGTGGCATATACAATTCTCACATTTATTTTTTTAGACAAATACAATTCTCACATGAACATATTTACAATAACACAATTCATTCAGTTACAGTACAAACGATCATGTAACATGAAATTTCATAATATGCAAGGGTTGTAATACTAACAACCATGTCTTTAATATGGTACGTAAGGTCATAATAATAACAACCATGCAGCTTGATGTGATGTGTATGATCAGTGCCATTCTTATATCCTCCTAATACTCCCGACATAAAACCGTGGGCCATTTTAGTGGAGTTTGTCTATGTGTTTAGACTACCTAAGTCTTCCAACTGTGAAGAATTGTTTGGTCAAAGCTGTTATATTCACTTGTGAATCATGGGTTTCTCTCAAATTTCACACTATAGGCTGTAGTACTCCTAAGTTAGCTTCCTTGTTGAATAAGTAAAAACTTGTTAGGTTCGAATCCCTTATTGAGCAAGTAGGATAATTCCTCGTTGAACAAGTGAAATAATAAAGATATAAAGGCAAGCCATCAAGCTCTGAATAATGGCCATACCACGTGGATTTAAAACCTCTACTCTTCTTCCTAGGTGAACTTTCACTTCATATGATCATATAATAGAACTCATGCTTGCTCATGGCATGCACAAATCTCAATCATCATGTTCAAGTAATATTCACATATCATATTTATGGCATGTAACTCCTCATGCAACAAACTCATCACATCATTCTCATCATTTCTTATAATCTTTTATACTTTCTTAACACAATTTTTGACTATTCAACATTTTCACAATCATTATACTTCATATTCATTTCACTCACACACAATGGCGGAGCTAGGATCTTAAGTTAGGGGGTGTAGGAAAATGTAATTTAAAAATTAATAATTAAAAAAAATAATATTCTAATTTTTTAAAATTAATTACATTAGGCAAAAAATATAATAACATAAATAAAATTATAAATATTTTTATTTGGGCAAAATATATTGAGACTTTTTTTTGCCAAAAATATGTTGAAAAGGTTAATATCGAGTTTAAATTTGGACCCCCAAATATTTTTTTATCGAGTCTAGAGAGTTTAAAATGCAAAAAATATGAGGTGTAGGATTGTAAATTTTTCATACTACATATGTAATTTTCCTCATGTGAGGGGATGCACCCCCCCCCAAATGTACATGGCTCCGCCACTACTTATACTATCACAAAATCTTTGTCAATTTTGCTACATTGCATCAAAACAAGTTTACAAACATCACATGATTTTTGAACAAGTTTTTCGAACATTTATAATCAATTAAACAAATAATTGCACAAACTAAGCTTTCTTTGATTATCTCAAATTTTTAGGAAGTTAAAAGTTTTATCCCTCACTTTCAATTACTTCTAAAGCTATTACAAACTTGAATGGCACTGAGAAATGATTAATTAACAATTAATCATACTAATAGTTATTAATATCACTATTGATGAAGTTACAACCCTTAAATCAACACTTTTGTCACTCAAAATTCTAATCTCCTTGCATTTAAATGTACCTATTGAGTTTATTAACTTTCTTTAACTCTCATTAGCTTCATTAAATTCTTAAACTACCATTAGTGACATTTAAACACCTCCAACCACCACATTTGTGGCACATTTTCACCATTAATGGCCTTCAACCTCCAAACATGAGTAAAGCTATAAATGCTAGATTTAAATAACCTAAATAACTCTCATTAATTCTATTTACGTCAATGTGTTCAGATCCATAGTCTCTGAACCAAAAATTACCTTTTTATATTAAACCCTAACTTGAAAATAGTGTAGAGAGGAAGAAGAGAGGTTAGGGACAATTACTAGAGAGGATAGGAAGCTCCAATCCTCCACTAAGTGCCAAAACGTTGTGCCCTAGTAAAGAGGAATGTCTCTCGTCTCCCTCTCTTCTATTTTCCTCTTCTTCTCTTTTGTTTTTTGAGTTGAAAGACGCTCTTATTTTTGCCAGAATTTGACCATGCACTATGACATGTGGTATTAAGAGCTTCCTTCATGTTTTAGTGAATTATGCGCCATAGCATATGATGCCCATGCTGCGGCATGTGGCACAGAGCCACCTTTTTTTTGTTTTTCTCCCTTTTTGAGGTCCAAGTGATCTGATTCTGTTCCAAACCCTAATCCAAAGGCTGCAAACATAACCCATTAGGCTTGTTAGTGCTCTCTAATCATCCACCCACCATTTACCTTATTAATTTACTTAATTACTCTCATTTAACTTTTAGAATGTTATATGTAAGAATTTCCTGGTAACATTTCCCTTTCTATACAACCTGTGTAGAAATCATAAAACTGCAATTGAAACCCCAAAAAAAAAAAAATAGAGAGAGAGAAGGGGGAAAATGACACAAAATTGCGGGTACAATTTTGTTAGTTCCCTTTATGTACAATTTATGCTTGGCATGAAAAGGGGTGATATTTTGATTTGTTAGTTTCTTTTTCCATTTCGATGCTAAGTTTAATTAGGTTATTTAATCAAAAAGTGCCATTACTATCATTTCTTTACTCATGGAGGTTGGTTATTTCAGTTGCTTATTTTTGTGCATGTCTCGCATGTAAAAGTAAATCTTACAATTTAAATTTTGGTCGATAGATATTAGGTTAATTATTCTTTTGGCCCTTCATATTTTGCAAGATTTTTTTCATTGGGAAAATGACAGCTAAGAATCCCATAAGAAAGTTAATACCAAATCAGGATCTCCTCATACCTTTAGTTTCAAAATTCAGCACTCATTTGCCTACATTCAGCATTGTAAAATGAAAATCTTAAAGCAAAATCCTAACTCAATATTTACCTTCTTATGATGACTTCAATTGTTGTTCTCCTTTTTTCCATTTGGCATTTTTGTTTCTAAGTAAATGCCCAATTTGCGAACTAAATGGCCATCATTAAGGAGAGTGGAATATATATCTCGACTAAATTGGATCATTTACCACAATAATTTGGAATTATATTTCACTGTGAGTCTCATGAAGATTGATTGAGGTTTGTGTTTGTTGTGAGGGCAGATTGTAATAGTAAGCAGTGAGGATGAGAAGAGAGAGTTTGTGAGAGAGGTAGGAGAAGAGATTCTTCCAGAAGAGTATGGTGGACGAGCAAAGCTTGTGTCTCTTCAAGATGCTCCTCTAGAGAACGCACCAACTGATTCTAATTCATCCAATTCTACAAATGCATCTTCTTAACTTTGAAGACCGATGAATGGACATAATTTATGAGATTTACTCTATTGCCTTGTGCTATTTAAACTTTATTAATATTACTGCTTAAAAGAAGTTTAATCACTTGAATAACAGTATTGTTTTTGGCCATGAAATAAATTTCATAACAAAATATAACCCTCCGGGACTAGTTTAGTTTACTGATTAGATTAGCAATATGGATGAGACTCGTCAGATTCGTACGTGCATATGCAGGAGAGGTGGCTCTGGCTTCTTCCCTGTATCAATTATGTGAAATGATCATATTATAATTAAGAAGGTTTTAATTAACAACAATTTTGGAGAAGTAGGGGTATTACAGTCATTCAATTTTCTCTCTTATCACTTGATTACCATCATCCCAATCACACGTTCAAATTGTTTATTTTTATTGCACGCCAAGCATGTTAATCCTCAAACTTTCTTTTTATGCTTTTCTTTTTTTAAAAAAAAAATTAAAGACAGTAAATTATTCTAGGAATTGAACTCCAAACACAACTTTCAGTCGCTAAAAATGATTTCTTCCAATTTTGAGTAACTAGATCTCACGTCCATGCGTTACATGAAATTCAAAATGAAAAAAAAAAGAACTAGATTTTTCATGTTTTATAAACGAAGCGGTGATTTTTAATACATGCGTACGTACACATATATTGACGCAGAAGTTAAATGCCCTAAACTAATTCAATTTGATTTTGCATAAGTCACAAATAATCAAACTCATTTTAACCTATACATATAATGTAAAAACGAGATGTCAAAAATAATTTATTACGAAAGAATAATAGTTAAATCATAAAATCAAGCTTCAAATATTAATCAGTAAGTGTGTAAATTATTCATTAAACTTTATGTTAAATAATATCATATATTTTAAACTTATTTAGTGTGCAAATTATTTTTTTAACTTTTAAAAATAATGCAATTTAATTTCTATTGTTAGTAAAAGTTAGCTTTGACCTTTAATTAATCAAAAAATGACTAAAAGGGACCTTAAAAATTATAGAAAAAGACCAAACAATTACAATAAATAACCCAAAAATTATAGATAACAATCCAAAATTTTATTTTGGTCATTTTTTATAATTTTTGATGTCTTTTTTTGATTTTTTTTTAAGTCAACTAATAATCAAATTTAATTTTAACTAACAACAGGGATAAGATCATATCATTTTTAAAAGTTGAAGAAATAATTAACATAAAAAACAAGTTTAAAATTATGATATTATTGAATCTAAAATTGAAAAAATAATTTGTTCATTTATCAATACTAATTTAGACCATTATAAATGTAGAAGTTTAAGTTGCAAATCATAATTTACAGGTGAGTATCTCATATCTCTAAATTATTATCTATAGATTATCTCTCATTTAAAGTAAGTGAGGACAATGCTTTTGATGAGAATGAAATGATGAGGGGAGGAAGAAAGATGAAATGCAATATGGGTCCCTCAGTCAATGCTTCTCCACCAAGCAGTCTTCCCTCATTGCTCATTGCAGCCTTCTTATGAAAAAAGGGATTCTCTTTTTTTTTTTTTTTGACCAGCAATGAAAAATTGATTCATAATCAAAAAGGGGGATTACTTCACCGCCAAGCAGTCTTCGCTCATTACTTATTTTTTTATTTTCAACTCTCATCAATGGATATGAAAGATTCTTTTCTTACTGGCTCATTCAATCACTTTTCCCAAAGAAATTTGTGAAATAAAAATGATTATGGTTTCCATGCAAAGTTGAACATGTTTCTTCTTGCACTATATAAAATCTGAGATAAATTATACTTTTTATTTTTTACGTAAAAATAAGTAAAACAATATATTTTTTAAAATCAAAACAATAAATAATATAATATTATTAATAAAGCATGGTACATTATTGATTCCAATTTACAAAAGCTTATGTCATTAAATTATTAATAATAAATAATAAAAAAGGGAAGGCAATCTTGGATATTATTAGGAAATATTCTTAGACTGTCCAATTCTTCCCTGTTTTTGGAATGAAAAATCATGCCCTTGAATGAATGGAAGATTTTTAAAAAGAATAAACCAACAATAAATAGCTCAAGACTTTTTTTTTTATTCTCTTATCTACAATACATCTTGATTTTTGTTTTGGCTGGACTACAATCTACAATGTACGTTGATTAACAAGACAGAACTTCAGTAAGAAAAAAGAGAACTTTACGCAAATGATAAGCTTTTTCTTATAAAAATCAAAATAAATCAAATAAAAAAGATCGTAAACATGTTCTTTCTTTATCGTACAATCGAAATATCGCACCAATCACATCTTTGCCTTGGAAAGCCGCGACCCACATGTACGGACAAGTGCATTGCCATTCGCTGTTTCCTCGAAGATTCTCTTCTTATTATTGTTTTTACCCCGATATTCAATATAAAAAACTAAGGAGAATAACAGTTGAGTTCCCATAAAAGTATTTTAAAAAATAAGTTATGAATATAAATTTAGATAATTGCAAATATGAATCATTGATATGTCTATGAATAACATTTAATATTTAAATATTTTATCAACAATAAAAACTTACTCTCTCTATTAAAAAATATAAGGTATTTTTAATCGAATTTCACTTTTCAATAAAGTAGTTACCTACTTTTAAACTAATTTTATCTTTTTATATTTATCCCTATTAAACACCCTATAATAAATATAAAGTCATTATAGTACTTTAAAAAAAAGATAATGATTACACTTTAAAAGATTAACAATGTTTGACATTTTTTAATATCTAACTCTTTAAAAAATGCTTTATATTTTTTAACGGAAGAAATGTATATTTACATTTATTCAACTTGATGTTTACAATTCATTTTCTAAAAAAACTGTCACAAATCTAACTTTGAATGATTCATAATTTAGAAACTTAATTGCAATTAGTTCTAAAAAATATGATACTAGCCTAACATAAATTGAATGCCAGTTGTAACAGCCCTCCTGAGTCACCACTGCCTCTCCAGGGTCTTTTCCCAGGCGCTGGACAACACACATGTCACCACATGATTGCCGGCTTTCCCACTGGTGGTACAGTGGTTATTCCTCACCCCACCCTCACGGGGGTCTTTTGGAACCTTCCCAGACTCGAACCTCCAACCTCTACCACCTTAATGAAGTTGAGGCGAAGTCTGGTACCATTGAGTCATGGTACCAGACTTCGCCTCAACTTCATTAAGGTGGTAGAGGTTGGAGGTTCGAGTCTGGGAAGGTTCCAAAAGACCCCCGTGAGGGTGGGGTGAGGAATAACCACTGTACCACCAGTGGGAAAGCCGGCAATCATGTGGTGACATGTGTGTTGTCCAGCGCCTGGGAAAAGACCCTGGAGAGGCAGTGGTGACCCAGGAGGGCTGTTACACCAGTAATGTTTGACATAATATCAAATAAAAACTTAATGAGAAGCCAATAAAATTGAGTTTAATTGATAATGCGTTGGAATTTAGTGAGTGATCTAAATTTACTTATTTAATGAGTGATTTAATTATATCTATTGGATTCATGGAGGCCATATCACTTGTTGGTACAATTTCTCTAATAACCACCCGCTCTTGCTTTAGAATCTTTAATATTTTGCTTCCTAGATACAGAAATTTTATATGTTTTGACATGATGCGATTGATTTTCTTTTTACATTATTATTCATGACAATGTGCTAAAAAATAATTACAGTAATTAAGTTTTATTAATATTTGAAAATTATTAAAATATATTTTTTAAAAATTTAAAATAATCATCATCATAAAAGACTCCTTAACCATTCTCAAAATTTAAAATTTGGTGCTTTCTCAATTTTACATAAAAAATTCTTTAATAATTTTTCATTTAAATTAAACTGTTATTATCATATTACTTTTAAAATATATATTTAAAAATGTGATAAATGTATTTCTTTTTTTATTAAAAATAATTTCTTAATTATTAAGTGGGAAAAATATAATCATTGATTCTTATAATTATTTTTGTTTTTAATCTCTGTATTTTTTTAAATTTTCAGTTGATATAATTTTAATAAGATTGAGTGATTTTTATTTTTCAGATTCCTAAAATTTAGATTTTTTAATCTTTTTAATCTTTATATAAATAAAAAATATTTTAAAAAAATACGGCACCGACGATCATGTCTTCCTACCTTACGCAGGTTTTTTTGTTTACGTTGGATTGCTTTCCGCGAAACAGAAGGGTGCCAATGGCAGATTCCCGGGGCGTCGGATAAAATATTCATTCTTATTATTATTATTTTTTTCCGGGACTTCTCGATGCCTTTTCCTTTATTAACTGGCGTCATGTTACTTCCAATGAGGGATAATGAGGAGCACTGGTGCAGTTAGAGTGAGTGTTGACTCCGGCTGACTAGTGAAGAACAAGAAATTGCTCTCTCTCTCTCCGTGCTTGGATCTCCTGTCTTTTGATTGCTTTGGTAAGAATCCGTCCCTGGATTTTGATCATCTTTTTGCATTTTGATGGACGATGAGTGATCACTAACTGAAACCTCTACTGCTCTCCGATTTATGCTAATTTGTCGTGCATGGTCGATTACTACTTGCAAGAATATTACATTTCTATCAAGAACATCACGGTGTTTCGTGCTTTTTCGTTTTCCTTATTCCAGAATTTTGGATATGTCAGATTAGTTGTGTTCTTGTTGGTGAGCCTTTACATGTTCAAAGAGTTTTTGCTTTTCTGCTTTGGTGCTTTGCTGGGTTGCTCTAAAATTTGCTCTTGGTGATTTAACTTAACGCAAAAGGAAACATTTTTCTTGAAAAAGCGAAGTTTAAACGTTTCCCATGAATACAACTTTTTCCCTCTTCGGTGAACCATTTGATCCGTCTGGCTTGTGAACATGAATTTAATTCTTACTTCTTCTAAAATTGGGTTGCATACTGTACCTTCTGAGATTTAACCTTTGACCATTTTTGTATTCACTATCACTTCTCTTTTAATACTCAGAAAAAGAACTCTCAAGATTCGCCAAGGGCATGTGTTTGATTGGTTATCTTGTAAAACCCATTATTGAGTAAATTGTTCTGTATTTCTTAGGTAATTGATTTTCTTCGTTTTAGCTGACTCAATCTTTGAATCCTCAATCATCATTCACGCGGGAACTTCATCGTTCAAGTGTTTGCTCCATCAAATTCGAAATTATATGAATTGAGCTATTTGGTAATTTCGTTGGACATGGTATTGTCACGAATGCTTGTTTCAGAACCCATAAGTTTGAACTAAAAACCATGCCGCGAGTAAGTTTTAGAAGATAAGGCTCCATCCAAGTTTGGTTCTTTGTTTATATTGTAAGATACTCTATCATTAACTCTAGTGACTTGCTTTATGGGACGAGTTCTGCTAGAAATGGTGAATTGGGGCATTCCGAAATCTGACGATTCATAAAGCTCTGTTGTGTTGGCTTGCTGGATGTTATTTCGTCTTGTTCCTCATTTCTCATCACGAAATATGCTAGAAAATTTTATCGGCATTTCATCTTTAACTTAATCCTATTGCGAATCACCGTAATGTTTTTCTGTCCTTTTTTCTTGTTGGTTATTTATTTCATCTTCTCCTATCCAGGAAATTTTAAAGAGTTGGCATATAGGATGGGTAGAACAATTGAGCTGTCTGGATTCCCTCGTAATGTTTCTGTGTCTGCAATAAAGCCATTTGTAGAGAAGATGACTGGTGAAGATACTGTCTATGCTATTAAGATAAGGCAAGGGAAAGGTAAATTTCCAAGGGCATATGCTATCATTCAATTCACAGATGCAAAGCATGCTTCTTATCTTACCTCCTTGCCGGAAAAAACCATATGGTATGAGAATTCCTATCTTAAGGCTCGAGTACTGGAAAAAGATATCGTGCCTAAGCCAAGGACATTTTTGCATAGCTTGGAAGGTGTGAAACTACATTTTGGCTGTCAGATCTCAAAGGAAAGATTCTATATTTTATGGAAAGCGGTGACTACAGAAGTAAACTTTGGGATTGGAATGAGAAAGATACAGTTCGTTCTGTCCTACAGAGGGGAGGATTATAAACTTGAGCTTTCCTATGAGAACATTTGGCAGATTGAGCTGCATCGTCCACACGGTGAAACTGCAGAATATCTTCTGATTCAGGTTCTTAAATATAAATTATTTTGTGGGGATTTGAATTTTGAAAGCATGTACTGCATTTGCTTGCACTCTTTGGTAGATGTAATGAAAGAATTGCTGCTGAAGCGATAGTTTTAACGAACACCAACCATATTATGATAAATGCAAACCACTTGGCTTGCTACACTTTATAAGGGTAGGGTAAAGTTTGGTAGAAGTCAAGGATTCATTTTCTTGACCACAACAAAGATATGGTGAAATGAAGCTAATGCCTTCATGGTAACGAAACTTCTAGATTATCTGATTTCTAGCATAAACAAAATGAAGGAAAGGGAAAAAAATACTGATATAAAGAATTCTGCATGAAAATTTTAATAGATAGTACTGAATAAATGCTATTCCATGAGATCTGCTTTACTATGTTGAAGCTGAATTTATAGACATCTTACTTATATTTATATATATATATAATATAGACGTCTTGCTTCTTTTTATATACTGAAACATGCTTTTATTTGTGGCATGTCTGCATGTATACGCAGTATGTGTGTGTGTGTGTATACAGGTACATATATATATAGTGTGAGATTTATCTCATAATTAATTGTTAGATGAACAATAATAAATGTGGTGATATATCTTGATTGATAAGATTTAAGCTTTCAGTACGTTTCTAATGTCATTTAGACGCATAGATTTGAGACTAAGGCCTATCTATACACTCGTTGGAGAAGCGAGATGACAGTTTGATATTCATCTTACCAACCAGTTCTTTATATATTGTTCCAGTCACTTAAGCTCATCAGTCACTTTCAAACTGCTTCAGGTTTGATAGTTGCCTCACAAGGTTTAGATCCCAAGAGTCATGTTTCCTTGCCTATCACCTAAATCTTCTGTTTGGGGTTGGTTTTGAGGAAGCCTTTCAGATCATATACCTTTCAATGCCTGTCATAAGAGTGAAGTACATTCTACAAGTACAAGGAAACTATAACATAGGGTCAACCCTTAAAGCTCATACTTATATCAGTGCACAATAATGATTGTGAGAATCTGTGCAAGCTTGTATTCTCTGGGTTGTTGGTGAAACCTATATGTATATTTTTTTTCCTGATAAACGGTGAGACCTAATTTTTCATTCATGAAGATTGGTTCCTGTTAATTCATGTGATTGCGTATTGCTGTAATTTGTAATCTTCTGCATACTTGACTTCAGAGGAATATTGTATCTTTACCAATTTCTCTTCAATTGTCAGCTACTTGGTGCTCCTCGAATATTTGGGAAAGATGGACGTACTTCAGGAAGTATATTTGAAGATCCTTTTCTCAACTATTATAAAGATATTTCTGATGATCAATGGATCCGATCAACAGATTTCACTCCTTCTGGCTGTATTGGGCAGTCTTCTACTATATGTTTGCAGCTTCCTTCTCATGGTCATCTTCCAAATTTCAGGGAAAACTTTGCTTACTATAAGGAAAGTGAGAGGAAGTTCTCTTTGGAGGAAGGATTCCCTTTTTCCAACAATTTGAATCTAGTCCCTATTGTTGCTCCTCCTCAAGGAATTGACATACCATATGACATCCTGTTCAAAGTTAACTCATTGCTTCAGCATGGGTGCCTTGCAGGTCCAGCGCTAGATCGTGGCTTCTATTGTTTGATTGATCCATGTAGAATGGATCGTGCTTTCATTGAACATGCTTTAGAGAAAATGTATCATTCAAAGGAATTCTGCTTTGACCCCTCAAAGTGGATGAGGGATCAGTACAGGAAGTATTGTGCATCACAGCATCTTTCCCACGCGCCTTCCATATCCTTAGATAATGGCTTGGTGTACGTTCGCAGGGTTCAGATTACACCTTGTAAAGTTTATTTCTGTGGCCCAGAGGTTAATGTATCCAATCGTGTCCTTCGTCATTTCCATGAGTTCATTGATAACTTCCTGCGTGTTTCATTTGTTGACGAGGAGTTGGATAAACTGTTTTCAACAGATTTATCTCCGCGTACGTCTTCTACTGAGCGGAGAAAAACTGAGATCTATACAAGAATTCTTTCTATTCTTAGAAATGGAATAGTAATTGGTGATAAAAAGTTTGAATTTCTAGCATTCTCATCAAGTCAGTTGCGGGAGAATTCTTTATGGATGTTTGCTCCTACGAGATGTGGACTCAATGCTACTACCATTAGAGAGTGGATGGGAAACTTTTGCAAGATTAGAAATGTAGCTAAATATGCTGCTAGACTGGGTCAATCTTTTGGTTCATCTACTGAAACTTCAACTGTTGGCCGGGATGAAATTGAGATTATTCCTGATGTGGTGGCTGAACATGGTGGAAGTGACTACATTTTCTCTGATGGGATTGGGAAGATATCTGCTGAATTTGCCAGGAGAGTTGCTAAAAAATGTGGCTATAAATCATCCACTCCATCTGCCTTTCAGATTAGATATGGTGGGTACAAAGGAGTTGTGGCTGTTGACCCTACATCATCAGTGAAATTATCACTGAGGAAGAGCATGCTCAAGTATGACTCAGATAATACAAAACTAGATGTCTTGGCATGTAGTAAATTTCAGCCTTCTTATCTGAATCGGCAGATAATCACTCTCTTGTCTACTCTTGGTGTCAAGGATCATGTCTTTGAGAAAAAACAAAAGGAAGCTGTAGACCAACTGAACTCAATACTGACAGATTCTTTAAAGGCACAGGAAGCTCTGGACTTGATGTCTCCTGGGGAGATATCTAATATTCTGAAGGAGATGCTCATTTGCGGTTATCAGCCTGATGCTGAACCTTTTCTTTCAATGATGCTGCAAACATTCAGGGCATCAAAACTATTGGAATTGCGACGCAAAACTAGAATTATTGTTCCAAATGGAAGAGCGATGATGGGATGTTTAGATGAAACAAGTACTTTGGAATATGGTGAGGTGTTTTTGCAATATTCTGATAACAGGTTCATGCCATTGTCTGATGAATCTGTTGCATATGGCTCTGAGAGATCTCATATAGTCACAGGTAAGGTGGTTGTTGCCAAAAATCCATGCTTGCATCCCGGTGATGTGCGTGTTTTGAAGGCTGTTGATGTGCCAGCTCTTCATCACATGGTCGATTGTGTTGTTTTCCCTCAAAAAGGATCCAGGTAAGCTTGTTTCCTTGCATTTTCATTATTTTACACAGTTGATATTATTTTATAGGACCATAGGTGGTCTCACATTTAATATTTGTGTGAAATCAAAGATCCTGCTCTCTTAAATTTGTGGACCAATACTTACCAAGTATTGGTGAAATAACGAATACTTGATTGTGTTGCTTTTGTAAGTTTCAAGTTTATATGTGTTCTTGAATCTGTGAATGTGTCCTTGGGCTAGTAATATACATGCTTTTGAAGACAGCATTACATGTGAGGAGATTAGCATTATCCCGCCATATTGTTCAACTGGCAAGTTCATATTCAAACAGGGGGGGACTTGAGGGATTGCATTTAGCATGACTATTTTCCTTGGAGGTCCATTATTTTTTGTCAGGAAAACACAGCTATTGGTCCCTATAGTTCTAATGCATTTTGTTATAGGTTTCTGTAATTTTTTTTGTTGCTTCAGGTCCCTCTAATTTATTCTATTTGCAACACTAGTCCTTCTATTTTTGAAAATGTCTGAAAGGATGATGAGGTGACATTAACAATATTAAATACATGACTAATGCCGTTAATCTTTATGCTGAGGTAAAATTATGATTCAACATATTGAAAAATGAAAAAGAACAGGGTGAACAACATTGTTAATCTATTGAATCATAATTCCATCTCAGTACAAATTAATAGCATTAGTTATAGGTAAATATATTTAAAATTGTTAGTGGCAGCTCATCGTCATTTTGGGCATAATAAAAATAGAGGGACTGACATTGTAGACAAAATAAACTAGAGGGACCTGGAGTTATAAAAAAATTATAGAGACCTATATCAAAATACGTTAAAACTATGGGGACTAATAGTTATATTTTCCCTTGTTTGCTAGCATCATGCATAATTGCAGTAAAATTATTTTCAATCAGATAATGTGTTACCTGTCCATTGTAACTCACATATTTTCTGTAAAAGAAACTTCATTATTTTCTTCTTTCCGTGAGAAAATGTCAAATACTATATTTTTTGTAAGATTGTAATTGAAGAGAAGAAGGAAGGTTCTTCTGCATTATCAATCTCTTATACTAAGGAGGTTAAATGTTTACATTTTTTTCTTCAGTTTCCATAAAATATGACTTTCAAGATTGGCAAGTCTCCTGATAAAAAGATTTTATTTTTAGGCATCATATATGTCGCCGTTTACCAAGTATCCCCTTTAAGATGAAACTTAAAATAATATTGAATTTATGTGAACCCTATATATGGTCTGGGGTAGTTGTTTCTGTTTCTGACTGGCTATATTTTTCAAGCACATATAAGTTGTAAATCACACTCGTTAATTGGAACATCGCATAACGTAAATAGGAGATATACACGTGCGCACGCACTATACATGTTAGTAAAATGTTTCTATTCTAAACTATTTTGTCTTATATACACAGGAATATACTGACCTGTTTTGCAACTTCATATTCATGTTGAAATAAATCTAAAGAAGTATGATTAGATCAGATTATAAACTGTTTCTTTTAATGAGGCTTCGAATGTTTTCACATGTGGAAGAGCTAGATATGTCGTTTAGAAAGTTATTTATCAATGAATTCTCTAGTAAATTAATGTGTTTCTTTTTCTTAATTGTCTTGGGTATTTCATTTTGTAATTTGTTTTCTGACACCATAATTGACTTTCAATACAAGACCTCATCCCAATGAGTGCTCGGGAAGTGATCTAGATGGAGACATCTACTTTGTTTGTTGGGACCCTGAATTAATTCCACCTCGCCAAATCGAGCCAATGGATTATACTCCGGCCCAAAGTATAGAATTAGATCATGATGTCACCATAGAGGTATTGTTCTCTTGGATTCAGCTATCCTCTTGCTGTCATGATATCATGACAATTTACCGTGATTTCATTGGAATTGATCATGTCTAACGAGTCCGTATTGAATCGCTTTTCCATTATCCTCTCATTGCCAATACTGCAAATGCATCGCCATCAGCCTAGACTATTCTCACCTTGTTAGGGATATGAGTAGAAAACCATTCATAGGCCTTATGCTGAAAACACAAGCTTTATTGATGGTTTCGCATCCATATTTGCTTTAGTCCAAACCTATTTTACACATAGTTCATAATATTTTTGAGTGTCATAATTTGACGCTAACAAATATCATATAAACCGGAAGTCCGGAACTGAAGGATTATCTCATGGAAATTCAGTTGTCTTAAATTTTCTGGTACTTTTTTCTAGTTTGGAAGATCCAAATTTACCAATTTACGCTGTAAGTTTAAATATTTAATATCTCTTATGACACCCTTTTGTTCTATATTTCCCTTTTCATTTATTATTTTCTTTGAATTTAACTACTCAACCAGCCTTGATTTCAGTACTTCCGTTCCTGCAAGCCTTGTGCTTTTAGATCCACTTATGAGATAGACTAATACATAACCGTTTGAGATGCTTGCTTTTTCTGGTGCAGGAGGTTGAGGAATACTTTACCAATTATCTAGTGAATGACAGTCTTGGAATAATTGCAAATGCCCACACTGTCTTCGCAGATAGAGAGCCCGAGAAAGCAATGGCTGAAGCATGCACTCAGCTTGCTAGGCTATTTTCAATTGCCGTCGACTTTCCAAAAACCGGTGTCCCAGCGGTTATACCTCGTGAACTATCTGTCAAAGAATACCCAGACTTCATGGAGAAACCTGATAAACCCACCTACGAATCAGCGAATGTGATCGGAAAGCTTTTTAGGGAAGTGAAAGAAGTTGCACCAGAAGCTAAATCTACTCCAGCCTTTACTCGGGAAATGGCTAGAAAGTCTTATGACTCAGATATGGAAGTTGATGGCTTTATGGATTATGTTGATGATGCTTTCTATTACAAAAGCAACTATGACTTCAAGTTGGGGAATTTGATGGATTACTATGGAATCAAGACTGAGGCTGAAATCTTGAGTGGGAATATTATGAGAATGTCCAAATCTTTTACCAAAAGAAGGGATGCAGAAGCAATTACCATGGCTGTGAAGTCCCTGAGAAAAGAAGCTAGGACCTGGTTCAACAGCCATGGAAGTGCAGAAGATTATGAGGAGGACGATCTGAAAGCAAAAGCATCTGCTTGGTACTATGTTACTTATCATCCTAGTTATTGGGGTTGCTACAATGAAGGTTTGAATAGAGATCACTTTCTGAGCTTTGCATGGTGTGTTTACGATAAGCTTGTCACAATCAAGAGGGAGAAATCTCTTCAACGGTCTTCCTTGGAACGCAGGTTTAGCAGAGGGCTGCATTTGTATTGACAACCTGAACTTTTGCATTGTATCTCATGGAACCTGCAGTATTAGTTGGAGCGTTCATATAAGTTCTATAGCACTGTGTGAATATGACTCGAATATAACTTTAAGTGGGTACTTGACTCACTAGAGTATCTTCTATATGTATACCATGATGCTTGTACTTATGTCTAGTGGATGAAGACAAATTGTTCGTGCAAATATATATGGCATGTGGTTTTCTTTCTATATTTTTGAATCTTCATTTCTTAACGCGTGGAAGTTTGTCTCCTGGTTTACACGCACACACAGGGTAACTTATTCTCTCTCTCTCTCTCTCTCCCCCCCTCTCACATAAAAATGGTAACTTATTTTCTAGCCAAACAATTTACCAGTATAAATCTATTTCTAGTGGTTGGTGTGTCATGATCTTCGTGTGTTTGGGTGCACGTGAGAGAGTGCTTTGGGCTTTTGATTAGTGGTCACTTTATTAAGGAGCAACCAGGAAATGGGTCCATGACCATGTAAATGTAATGCAAGTATTCTTGTTTAGCATAGGAAGCTAGCCAGTAATGCATGTATAAGCTAGCTAGTTTTTCTCTCTTACAATAACAACACTTCTACTTACGATTCTGGAACAATTTATATTCTTTGTTTTGAATATTTCAATAGAACTTCTAGGAAAAATATTTTATCCTAAAATGCATACAACTGTTTTTGGAGTAATGAAAAAAATTACACGTAGTTGAGAGGAATAAAAACAAAGTTAAAAGAGATTAAATGTAACTTCTGTTGTATATTTTTACTTATAATTAATTTATGATAATATTAAATTTTACAACACCAATGTTATAAACAGTACAAACATCAAATTTATTTTTCAATATCATTCAAAAAGACTTGTAATTTCAGTATTAATTAATGTGCTAACAAATTTGTGCTCATATTTTGTTTTGGTCAAGTAGGTAACCATAAATTTTGATGCGTATTATTAAGATCATGTTGAAGAGAATATAATAAAATGGAAAGCGATGGTCAATAATGGAATGAAATGAGATGAAATGGAGCGGAATGAAAAATTTCATTGTTTGGGAATTTTATGAGAAGAATGAATGATTTTATTTGATAATTATTTATGAATTATTATAAAAAAAATTTGTCAAAAATTAATAGATTTGAATTAAGTATAATTATGTTTTTTAGTTTTGAATTATAATAGAGGAAAAACAACTTAGTTCAAATTTACAAAAATAAAGAGATTTGTGCAAACTACAAAGCGATTAAACTTATGAATCATACAATGAAATTGTGAGAAAGAGCAATTAAGCATTGATTAAAATTGAAGACTAATATTTTTAAGAATCAATTTAGCTTCATGTCAAATAAGGTGACTACTAAAGTGATTTATCTACTAAAAAGATTGATTGACAAGTATCAATGCAAAGGTAAAAATTTATATATAGTTTTTATTATATTGATTTAGAAAAAGCTTACAATCATATACTAGGAGATATACTTTAGAAAGCCTTAGAAAAAGAAAGGAGTCTAATTTGCCTATATTAGAGCCATACAAGATATGCAAAAAAGGACAATAATTAGTATAAGAACGTATATTAGTAAAATAAAGGACTTTTCTATAAGCATTGGACCACATCATGGATCATCTTTGAGTTCTTATTTGTTTGACCTAGTCTTAGATGTTTCAACTAAGCATATTCAAGTGAAAATCCTCAAATGCATGCTTTTTACAATTGATATAGTTATTATTGCAAAAACAAGAGAAGAGATTAACTACAAACTTGAGATATAAAGGAGAACATTTGAGTTGAAAGGTTTTCGCTCGAATAGGAGTAAAATAAAATATTTTCATTATAATTTTGATAAAAAGTCAGTCAATAGTAATTTAAAAATAAAATTAGGAGATCAGATTGTAACTCAAGTGAAAAAGTTTATATATTTGGAAGCCATTGTTTAACATAATAGGAAAATTATGGGGATGTAGTACATAGGATATAAGTTGAGTGGTTTAATTAGAGAAAAGCTAAAGGTGTTATTTATAATCAAAAGGTACTCAATAAACTTAAAATGAAGTTTTATTGAGATGTTATAATACCAATTATGTTATATAATAGTGAATGTTTTACTTTAAAAGGATAGCAACAGCATAAAATTAGAGTAGCAAATATAAAAATGTTGATATGAAGGTGTGAGCATTCACGTTATAACAAAATGAAAAATAAGCATATATGAGAAAAATGGGCCTGACATCTATTAAGGAAAAATTGGTAGAAGATCATTTGAGATAGCTTAGATATGTACAGAGAAAACCGCTAGAGGCACCAATAAGGAGAGTGAAATGGATAATTTTAAACCTTGTAAAGAGAGATAGAGGAAGGTCAAAGAAAATACTTATGAAAGTTGTTGACCAAGATTTTTTAATTAACAATATTCCTAAAAAATATTTATAAATAATAGAATATAATGATGTCATGCAATCTAGAGCTGTGCAAATATTGGATAGGACTAGGTTGAGCATCAACTCAAACCCCAAACCCCAGTTTGAAAGAGCACAGGCTAAATATTTCAATCTAAGGACTAGTCTAGTCGAGAAACCCAAGAGCAATATTGAGTGAAACTCAGTTGATCAGGTTACTGGACTAGTCTGATAGTCTTTCTTAATAACAAGTAATAGACTTCTCAAATTTTGTTCACCAAAAAGCCAGGAACTTTCTTTAAAAGAGAAAGAAGGATCTAGATGAATGTATATATTCTATTCTAAAACAAAGCAAAGCTATAAAAATATACTACACAAAGCAACAATAATTAGATCTTAAAATCCACAACCCAACTCCTTTTCTTTTGTTGAACAATTGGGATAGGATAGATGGTTTCAGCTTTTGCTTTTAGCTATTGAGTGTTAGAATTAGGGGGTTTAAGTATTAAAGTGGTGACATGACTAAAAACATTTGAAAAAAGGGTGTGGTTTATGTGCATATATGAATATTATGTATGTATGTATGTATGTATGTATACCAAATTGAGTTAGACCAAGTGGTTGAATAGGTTAGTCTAGAACTTGGTTTGACTCGATAATCTAACTTAGTCTAATCTATCTTCTCTTACTCTAATTTTTTTAGGTTGTGTCAAATGTAGCATCGTAGATTTTTAAATGTGAGAATTTTTTATGTTTATAAGGATATTTTAATTAAATTAAGTGAGTTTTTTTAGTAGTGACATTCTTAGGAGACTAATGTAGCTAATGGATCCTTGAATAACCTTAGAAGAGAGCTAGATCGGAGTACGAGCAAGTCATGGCAAGAAGAGAGATTCAGAATGTGTATGGAGTTCTTTGTGTCATGCACCTCGATGCATGTACATAGATTTGTGTATTATACATGATCAAATGAAAAATCAAAGAAAGAAAGAGAAATATTGAGGGAGCATCGAAGGAGACTCTTGGGGCTGCTAGGGCTCAACCTTTGGACCATATTGAAAGCATTTGGAACAATATTTAGCTTTGAGTAAGCTTCTTTCACTTCTCTTTCTCCCTATATTCAAACTTTTTGATAATTTAGGTATTGTGGGGCTTTAATTTCATGTTTTCTTAGGTAATGGCTAAACCCATTGTCTTAGTTAAGGTCTTGGAGAGTTAAATCAAGCCTTTAAACCTAGATTTTTTGACTATATAGTGATTTGGAGTTGTTGGTTAGGATTTGGACGAACTCTAAGTAGAAATTGAATGTTAAGAGCAATGTGGGTAATGTAATTTTTTTTTTGTTGGGATGTTAAATAGGGTTAAGGTAGTGTGTTAGGAGGATTATTGGGGCTAAATTGAAGTTTTAAGCATAATGAATACCCCTAATTATATTATAAAATGGGGTGATTAGTACGAGGATTTGACAATTAAGGGCTTAATTGTTTAGATTAACTTTTGATTGAGCATTGTGGTGCTAGTGGATACGTGTGGAGCCATTAGTTGACCACAATAGCCCTTTTAGTGATAAAAGGGTTGAAATAACTAGATTGTCTAATATCTCTTTTTGTGTGTTTGCATGGCAGTATGTAAATTTTGAAGTCAATGTTTTGGTTTAGTATTAACATAGTAATAATATGAAATTATACTTGTGGAGTTATGTGAAGTAGAATAAAAACTTGTTTTAATGCTTTTTTTTATTTGAAAAGGTAAATGCTATTTCTATGTATAACTACTTGTGAAATTCTATGGTTTATATGAAAGTGAGAAAATGTGATAATTTATATGTTATGACTATGTATTTGATGTATTAAGTATGTTTAGCATAATCATTATGAGAGGGTAGGAGTTCATCCTAATTTGCTTTTTGAGACATTATTTGAAAATTTATATGATACACGGGCATTGTGGAGGCCTCAGTGCTTAATATTATATTATTTAGAAGTCTCAGTACTATAAGTGGTAAAATGGGCATCGACACCCTTAATGTTTGTAGGCAAGGGAAAATCTGTAGTTCATAGTAGGTGAAGGTGCTCTTGGCCAGGGCTGCCTCCTAATAATAGTGAGCTTGAGCCAGTCCAGTTACATGGACTTGGTCCTATCGAATTATCAACCAACAAATTCAGTTGGAAGACACAAGGAGGGCATAAAGTGGTGTGTTGATCATGCTTCTCATACTATAATCATATATGTGGATTTATGAAACATGTTATATGATTTACTATACCACTTCACATACACAAACTATTACACATGAGCAGCTGATTAGACTATTTGATTACTGAGTCCTCAACTCACCCCATGATTACATTTTATAAGTGAAGGCTTTGATAGAGGCAAGGGAAAGGAGGGTGCAACCGAGTATTGTAACATCCTAAAACTTTAAATCTAGAAAAATGGATTAATTAAGGGATAAATTAGTTAAAAATATGATTAATTTATTTAATTATATTTTTGGGTGGCTAATTGGATTTTTGGGTCATATTTGGCTCTAAATTGAGATCGAATAAAAGTCGGATCAAGTCGGGAAGCATCGGGGGGAGTAAAATCAAGTTGTTGCTTGCTGCATTGTGAGCCGCAGCTTGTGTGGTGTGCCCTACGGCGCATGGCATAGCATGTAACTTAAAATTTCGGGGATCATCAGAATTGGACAGTTTTTGGGGTAGAAAACCTAGAGCACGAAGGATTCAACTTTGGACACTGCTAGGGCATCAATTTAGAAGGATTTTAAAGATTATTTGAGTCTCCAAACTCTTGGGTAAGTTTCCTACCCTTCTC